CCATCACCCATACCTAATGTGAAGAAGAAGTGTGTTATGTGTGCGAGTATGGATGTTTGTATGTACTAGGAAGACAATACAATTTTGCAGGACTATAACAACTGGAGCCCAGAGAAAGGCAGGACTGGGCACTGCCAAAGCCTTATTACTTAAGGGCTGTTTCACACTGTCTGACTGCGGAAAGCAGACCAGTCTTTCTGTACATGACACTTAAATATTACTCACCCAAACCTATGACAAGCAGTCAAAGTGAAAGTGGTGTATTCACAGAGACACTATTCATCCATAGACATCTGAAATGGATTTTGTTTTCCACACTCATTAAAGATTTCAGAAACTGCTGGTTTCTAAATTCTTTCATTAAAACAATGAATTAATAAAGAATGAAAACCCAATTTATTTTGTGTACCTGGGACCCTATAGGAAGTAAGATATGAATAGTCTACCCCTGAAATTTAATTTCATTCTTTTAGGCAAAACAATAAAATTTTTTTATACCCCCTAAGGGTTTGCTTGTTTTAGAAATAACTCCTATGTGGGTTTATAGCTAAGTAAAGTAACTCAAAATCTTAAGCATTTTTCTTGGACTTCTTTGAGATTACTGAAGACTTTGAGAAAGTTATTAAATGTTTCAAAGGTGTGAAAAGGAAACAACTGAAAATTATGTAGACTATTCTGTGAGAGTCTCAAATTTAAAAAAAAAAAAGAACAATATGTTATTTTGGCATTCTTAAACAGCCATAACATTATTTTCTGGGAAAGATAAAGGATACAATATGTGGATTTAATTTCAAAATTAACACTGAAAGAGCAAGCTAGCAAAGGCTTTTTGGAAAAGTTATTTTCTGATTTTTCTGGAACGTTTAGAACTCCCCCTTTCTGTCTGGGAAACACCACTTCCTATAAGGAGGGGTTTACTACTTCACAAGCAGACTGCTTCTCTAGGTGAGTCCCAATTCCAGAGTACTGTGTTGGGCTTTCCCTTCTATCACTTTTCTCAGAGCCTTCTGCAGGTACAGGAAGAGGAGATCATGTAGAATAACACCAACAGTAGTACAGAGAAGCTGGAAATCTTTCCAATTTCTCTGATTGATAGGTGAAACCAAAATTGGACAGCAGCAAAATGTTACTGGTTACCTGCAAGGGGAAAAGGGCACCCAAACAAAGAAAAAGGCTACCTCCAGCAGCATGCTGAAGAGTGTAAGAAAGTAAGACCTCTGGAGAGCAGAGGGAAGGAGCAATTCCCACTTCAAAAACTGGCAAATCCTGTAAGTCTGATGATCAATAAGCCAACCATCCCTATCTTCGTGAAATAAAACTGGTCAACACTAACGTGGATAGACAAAAAGACAAAAAGGTTATACATATGAATGACCAATAATGTACACTGCTCTTATAGTCATAAGGGTAATTGATTTGGAGAGAGAAAGGGGGTGGTGATGGGTTATTAAGACAGATGAACAAGAAGGGATTCACTACTTTTCTTAGAGAAGGCTTTCCAGAGGAGGTTAGCTTCCAGACTCTGGACGAATAGCAACAGGAGCTTAGCAAAGTGTTCCAACCAACCACAGGAAAATAGCTCAGAGGGGGAGTGAACTGATTATATGAATGGGGCATTGAGTAAGGGCGCAGGAGAGAAGAAAGGGGAACAGTCAAGGGAAACAGGGCTGGTTCAGGGTGTCCTAGTTAAGATCTCTAACCTAGAGAAAGGCTGGGCGGGGGCAAGGGCAGGCAAAAAGGGAAAGCAAAGTAATTCCTTCACGTATCTCGGTCGGCGAGTCCAGGACTAGGGTTGGCACTACCTGGAGAAGCTGACAAACAGGCTTGCCCCGAGAGTGAAAATTTCCCGGAGGAGAGGGCCCTTTGGGGAACAACGCGGCCCGCTGTCCCCCGAATTCCTGGGTGGGTACCCTGGGTACTAACTGAAGGCGCGGGGACACCTACGGCAGGTGTTTCTTGGGTGTTGGCATGGACTACAGAGCTAAGGCTCAGCGGCGGGACCCGCACTTAGCGACAAGCAGGCGGCGGCGGCGGCAGCTGCGCGTGCAAACCACAGGACTTACCTTACTGTCATCCATCTCGGCAGGCAGGCCAGCCTGGCCAGGCGCTCCCTCCCCCTGCCCTCCCAGCTCCGCCGGCCGGGCCCGGCCCGGCCCCCGCCCCGGGGGAAGAAGGGGATATGGTTCTGACTGCCTCCTCTCGCCTAACAGTTCGCTTCCCTGATGCCACAGTCACGGGGATGAGGGACCAGTTCAGGAATGGCAGAGCGGACCCTGGAGGCGGCCCAAAACGCCTCCCTCCGCGGCCACCGCCCCCTCCGCCCCCTCCATGACAGTCTGGGTGTGTTTACAGACGCCCTGGAGAGCTGCCGGGACACTTGGGTGGGCGGGAGCGAGGCACGCGGAATGGCCCCTCCGGCCGCCGTAGCCCCGCGGTGTTCTGGGGATTGTAGTTTCCCTTACCCCAGTCTGTACGCAGCAGACCAGGAAGGAAACTACAATGTCCACAGGGCCTCCGCCAAGCGTCTGTTTTCCTCCGGCTGCGAGCGCTGCGGGGGCGGGGCCAGGCGGGAGGCCCTAAGTGCGTTTCCCACAGTCGCTCCCGGAGAGGTTTGGGCCTGGGGATCCTAGCGGCTTGGGCGCCCGGAGGAAGGAGTCTGGGGCCCCGTGGAGGCAGCCCTGAGGTGGGGACCCCGAGGATCCCCGGAAGGTTTCTTACTGAAAAGGCGCAGCTGCTTCGGGAAACAGTTTGGCGGTTCCTCCCGATATTAGAGTTACCATATGGCCGGCAATTCCCCGAGGAATGGGAACGCATGTCCACATGAAACCTTGCACACGACTGTTCTGTCCTAGAAACTTTATTCATAATAGTCAGGAAGTGGAAGCAAACCAAGTGTCCTCCAGTGGATGAATGACTAGGCCAATGGTAGTGCGTTGTTAGGAATATTACCAGACCATAAAGAGGAGTGAAGTACTGATGCACGCTACACTGTGGATAAGCCTGGAAAACATGCAAAATGAAAGAAGCCAGACAAGAAAGCCACATATTGTAGATTCCATTTGTAAAGAAATGTCCAGAATAGGTAAGTTCAAAGACACAGAAAGTTGAGTGGTTGGCGGGGGCAAGGGTTGGGGAACAACGGGGAGGGCGGGGAGCCGGGATGGGGGAGTGATCGCTAATGGGTCCCGGGTTCCTTTTTGAGCTGTTGAAATGTCCCCAAATTGATCTGGTGATGGCTGCACAGCCCCGTGAATATATTAAAACCCACTTATTTTAAATGAGTACATTTTATGGTATGTGAATTATATCTCAATAAAGCCATTGAAAAAATGAGTGTCATTGTGCCCTCCTGGTTTAATAAAGTCTGTGAGCTCGTTGTTGTGCCAGCCCATATCAGGCCATTGAGGACTGAACAGAGGTTGTGTGTTCGTTCATGTCATCCTGGAGAGCCCTTTGATCCCTTTCACACTCTTCCAAAATTCAATGGAGATAACAGAGTTCCCAGATTCAGCAGTAAGTATACAGGACATTCACTTACAGTTGGATTTTCAGATAAATACCTTTTGTGTAGTATAAGTATGTCCCATGCAATATTTGAGACACGTTCTTACTAAAAAAAAAAAAAAAAAGTATTCTTTGTGTGAAAATGAAAATTAACTGGGTGTCTTCTGTTGTATTTGGCAACTCCAAATTGAGTAAGAGCACTGACAGGCAAGTTGAGTCATCTCTGTGATCTATGCAGTCCTTCAAAGGCTCTATGAAGAAGGTAACCTCTTCCAAGTAAATGCAGCCTAGGCGGGTCCTGAGGTGGGGAAGGGGTCTGGCATGTTAGGGTAGTGACTGTGGGGCCCAGACCTGGCTCTCTGAGAGTTGCCCAGCTACATCCTCTCTTGAGGATCAAGGGGGCCAAAGTCTGTGTTCGTGCAGGCTCTCTGCCTCTTCCTCACCTAAAACCCCTTTTGTTCAACACCTCCAAGAGCCCCTTTCCACCTCCTCGCCTCCTCATCCTGTGCCCAGCCTGCCCTCCGTTTGCATCCTCCGTATGCCTTCGCTGCCTGTAGGCCCTGTTCTTCAAGGTGGAACTGTCTTTCTCCTGGGTTAGTTCTCTGCCACTCTTCCTTCCTGTGACAAAAATGCACCCACATGGATGGACCTGGAGAGCATTATGCTCAGTGAAGTAAGGCAGTCAGAGAAAGACAAGTACCATATGATTTCACTCATACGTGGAACCTAATGAACAAAATAAACTAACAAGTAAAATAGAAACAGACTCATAGATAGCGAACAGACTGACTGTTGTTGGGGGGATGGTGGTGAAAAAAGGTGAAGGGATTAAGCCAAAACAAAACAAAACATACACACACACACACACACACACACACACACACACACACAAAACCCTCAATAGACACAGTATGGTGATTAACAGAAGCGAAGGGGGTTGAGGCGAGGTAGAAGAGGGCATTGGGGGGATAAATGGTGATGGAAGGAGACTGGACTTGGTGTGGTGAACACACAATACAATATACAGATGATGTATTATAGAATTGTACACCTGAAACCTATATCATTTTAATAACCAATGTCACCCCAAGAAGTTCAATAAAAAAGAAAAATGCATCCAGCCCTTTGTAATGGAACTTACCCACCCATGCTTGGCTGGGTGTGAGCAGCTCACAGACCCAATTGCCAGCCCCTCGGGAAGGAGGTCTAAGATTGTTTGAACCACGTAGTGGGAATCTAAAAACTTGCAGGGGCAGCATGTATACCAGCTTCAGGAGAGTGGTTTTCTCTAGGGAGGGAGGGGAGCTGAGATTCAAAGGGTCCTGGGTGGTTTGCTATGTATTTAACTTTTAAAGAGATGAAGCGAATATGTTAAATCTTTTGGTTGGGATGTATGTTGTGTATCCTCTTTGTATCTCTGTACATATGAAATATTACACAATTAAAATAGGAATTAAATTTAAAAAAACTATAAACACTTTAGAAAGCGTGGAAATACTTTATTTTTAAAAATTTTTAATTTATAAAAATAAACTTAATCACATCATAAAAGAAGACATTGTAAGTGGAAGAAAATCTTATGAAAAAGTATTGTGTAGTCATATGTTCAACATTTGCAGAGAAATACCCAGAATTAGTAACAAATTGGTGAGGAAGAACAAGAGTGAATATTAACTTCTATAAGTATAAACCCTCAAGAACTGTATAATCCAGGAAGGAGAAATTCACACACACAGGAGACTATGAATAATCACTAAACAAGACTCCTGGTGAAAAATAATACAGATCAAGTTTAATATCTATGTGTTAAGTGGGTAGGGAGAGCCAAGCATCACACTGATTGCTAGAAAAGGAAAAGTGAACACAGCAAATGTATGTTCTTTAAGGAGTGGGAAGAAGTTTAGAAGAAAAATATGCTCTCCGACTCCCAGGCATACTTTGTATTCATGGTTTTTAATCATTTTTCCCTATATCGCCTTCTCAAAAAGAACCTCAAAGGCATGCAATCCCTTTTAAAAATGCATATTTTCTCCTCCCCCCATTTTTCCCTCCCCAACATACACAGACACATTTCATGCACTCTCAGAAATCCCACACAGAGGCACTGTTGGCCTATGATGCATCAGGCTTTGCCGCTGCTGTGGAGTTTCTTGTAGTGAATTCCTAAGCAGCATGGCACACACCCACGCCCACTAGGCCTGCATGCCTTCCATGCCCTCATCCCTCTCTCTTCTGTTCTTCTTACCACTAGGCTAAAAGAGCACAGGTGTCTAAACAGAGCCAAGATGATCATGTTACTCCCTAGGCCACATGGGCCCGCTTGGCACATGCCTCTGGGGAAACATCAGAGAAAAAGGAAGCTCATTAAAATAGCTTCTTAGGCTCCAGCTGGTTTTCCATTAAATTTGACACATGAGAGTCTATGAATTTAAAAATTATCTAGCCCTTTCCAAACTTTCATTGGAAATGAAAGTTGCTTGACTCAGTTCTGGCATGGAGATTTTTCCCCATCTCCAATTTAGAAATAGAAATAATTAAAAACAAAGCCTGCCAAGAAAGAAACAAAGGTAGCCATGAAATCTACCATGGTAACTTCTGACCCACCTTAACATACCATATATTTGAGAAAGAAGGTATCCCAGAGCCATCCTAGAAGTGACCAGCTGTTACTTTCTGTCCCTGGCTTATCTTTTCAAAGAGTTGATCATCTATAGCTGAATAATAAAAAATTTAAAAAGCAGCATGGTTGTACAGTGAATTTGTGGATAGTTCAAATTTTGACACAGAAAATGAGAAAGGAGGAAAACTATTCATAGACATAAACAAACCTCTGATTGAAGAGAGGTAGGGGGTGGCATGAGATTAAGTGAGGAGGGTAAGGGAACAAAAATTAACCTTATAGAAACCACAAACAAGGGGAACAGTACAATATTCTACATTCAGGAATGCCATGGCTACGTTGATATGTAAATCTGGCACTCAGAACAACAGAGTATTATTGCTGCTGATATGGTAATCTTGAGAGGTACTGAGAAAAAGTGGGTGGGTCATGTGAAATTCATGAAATGCTTGAGGTGAGCTCACTGCTGAAGTATTAGTCACGTCTTGCTTCGTGTGTGGTTTTTCTCCAATTTATTGTATAGATAAGTATTCCTCTGTACTTTCTGTTCCCGAAGAGTTTAGTTTATTTTCATGAGGCTTTAAAATATTTCATCTCAAAAGTTTGTTTCTGTTCTAAAGGCATTTTGCAGAATGCCTCCCCTCCTTTGGCCTACTCAGACAAATATGCCTACATTTGCATACAGCACAGTACCTATTTACTCTGCATTGGCTAGAAAGTTCAGAGGCACGAGCCTAAAGGAACATTTTCAGACTGAGCACATAATTCAACCTCCAGCTTGTCAGCAGGAGCGAAATAAATAAATAATTCCAAGAAGGACTGAAACAGTCTGTTGAAAAAGAAGGAAAAAGAGACACAATCAGCATAAAAATAAGGAAGAGAAAATGAAGCTCAAGGAACCAAAACCTCCCATGTTTAGAGTTTGCCTTACCTCTTCCCCTTCACCAATATACTAAAACCTTCTTAAACTCAACAATGTTTCTTAATATTGTCCTAACTACCATTCCCACTTAAAATACTGCTGTTATTCCCAAGCCATATATTTTACTTCACTCAGTAGAAAAGAAAAAAGTGTGCCCTTATTTGAGGAAATAATAGAAAATTTATTTATTTGGTCTGTAAGCAACTGTTTAAAATTGAATTACCCTTTGTAAGAGATGGCTTACTAAGCACCGCTATTAGTCATTTACACTTTAGTATGAATGTGCTCCTTCTCCCCCTTTCACTTGTTACCTAACGATTCGTTTAATATGGGGTTTAGGTGTAGAAGAAGAAAATTCTGACTTTAAAGGACAGGTGTTATAAAAAGGGAATAGATTTGGGGAGATATGTTTGCTATGGTGGGACTTTGAGCATTTAAAGCGAAGCAAGTCAACACTAGATACCTGTAGGGTTAGGGTTGGGGGAGATAGGAGGGAGATGAAGAAACAAGTGACCAGGTACCTTCTTTCACAATTCTCCTGAGGACTTACTCAATAGAAACACATTAAACAAGCACATCTCATTCTACTGACTCAGACCTGAAGAAGTTTAAACTTACCATGGTACATGTCATAGAGTAAGGAAGAAAAAAAACAACACACTGCATTTATTGTTCAGAAAATTTTTTATAAAAGCAGCTTTCTTTCCTCTAAGTTCACTTTTGAGGTTGTTGTTTCCATGTAAGAGTTGGTAAACCAGAATTGTTTGCTGAATAAAAATCTGACAGGGCTCCTCTTCCAGAGCTTGTATTTTTAAGAAGCAGAAGCCTGGAATCCTAGGTTATCCAGGAGGACATGTGGTTTTGGTACCCGTAGACTTCAGGAAAGCAGCAGGGGAACCATGTCTTCGATTTTGAATGATTTTAACTGCTTCAAATTTTGCTTCAATCTTCTCTATTTCTAAGGAGAAAATAAAAACACCACACCCTAAAATTTACTATTGGGACCTTATCAGATGTACTTATGATCCTAAAGATATTTTCAAAAAGCCACAAATAATATTTTTGAGAATTTAAGTGTTAATATTTCCTGCCTCTTGTTAGGTGCTGTCTATTGCTAGATGAAAATAGCTTCAACTCTTTCTTTCTGGCATTACTTTTTAATATTATGGCTATTCTGATTTTTTTATTTGGTAACACATATCTCCATTTATTTTTTTTACTCATTTACATAGTTAGGTTAAGAATTCTTGCCCAGCCAGCATGGTTCAGTGGTTAAGTGCCGACTTATGAACAGGAGGTCATGGTTCCATTCCCAGTTAGGGCACATACCCAGGTTTTGGGCTTGATCCCCAGTGGGGGGTGTACAGGAGGCAGCTGATCAATGATTTTCTCTTATCATTGATGTTTCTATCTCTCTCTCCCCTTCCTCTCAGAAATCAATAATAATAATAAAAAAGAATTCTTTTAAAGCATATTTTCAAGGCCTTTGACTTTAAAGGCTTCCCACAACTACATAAGAAGACTTTTATTTCAGGACATATCTTTAAATCTTTTTGGTTAAGCATAGAATTGTTTCCAGAAACATTTAAGTCTGAAGGTGGTTAATGTCAGTCTTCTTTGGTTAATACCATGTTACCTGGATGGTACAGTACCTAATATTCTGTGTGATAAAAATATAATATTAGTAGTAGTAATATGACTCGACAGTTTCTAAAAAATGTTTGCATGAATATTAGCTCATAGGAATGAAGGTATTGCTACATGGAAGCTGACCAATTCTGCTAACAGTACAGGGTGGGACAAAAGTTGTTCATATGGAAAATAATTAACAAATAATACAAGAATAAACTCTGTGTTTTGCATACTCATAACTGTAAACCTACTTTTCCCTCACCCTGTATTTCTGTTACCAACAAGCAGTCTCTGGTAGAACAGCATGGTTGTTCTAGCTAACATTATCGTTAAAAGTTAGATATGGAAACAGAAATAATTATTTCCATATCTGTCTCTGTAATTTATAAAGGTGTCCAAATCATCGCTTGCTATGTGAATTCTAAGTGTATCTCAAATGGGTTTTAAAGGACACCCCTTTATTCCTATTTTGTAAGCAAGCCTAGGTTGATTCTGGCCTCACTGCTTACGTTTTTTATAGGTTCACACCAAGCTATTTCTCAGCCTTTCCCTTTTTAACAAGTCTTTCCCCACACCTGTGAAGTCCTGAGTGGCCTTTGCCGAGCAGTTTCTGACATGGATACCTCTCTTTCCAGGGGCAGTCCCCAGAACTGCCTCAGGTACCCCTCCCATTGTGTGTGGATGAAGAATCACACTTCTGCTTTTTTGTGTTTTAATTGAAGTGAAAAAATTATTCTGTTTCCATTTCTGTTCTGGACTTGGTGCTGCCGGCCATTTTCTGGGGCCTTCTACTAGGACTTATGGGGCATGTAACCACCGTGATCCATAGGAACTTGGTATAGGCGTACACATATTTTCCACACAAATACTAAGCTCTTTGTTCCTTTCATTTTTCTTCTTTAAATTCGATCAGCCACCTTGTTTCCCCCAAAGGATGGTATTATCAGAACTAACAGTTTATGCAACTAGCTAGTCTGTTACAGGACTCATTTTATAATGATCGTAGGAATGAGAAAGTCTTAAGAGTTTGTTGCTCCAGTGTCTCCCGACACTCCTGCTGCCCTCAGGATGATGAGATTCAAGACACAAAAGTAGCAGCACCCTCCTTCCACTTTTATCAGGAGTACATATTTCCCATTGGACATTTTATAGACCGACTTTACATTGAAGCTCTGGCCTCTAGATATTTCTCTAAAGTAGAACAGAAAGTCATTTTAGCTTAAGTAATGCCGCCTTGCTCAGATAAGCTGCTTGAGTTGAGTTTGCGCCAATTCAAGATGGCCTCGTGCTGGCTGATGCACATACAGTTAGGAATTGTGCAAGAAATGTGGGTCTTTTGCTGGAGTGTTCGGCACCTTGGTCATCAGCCTTGACCTGCTCCTCCACACTTCACCCTTTCCCTCTTCCCATGGGGTTCTTGTGTTGTGCCCTGTGGTTTTTGTTGTTTTGTGTTTTCAGACAGCAGTCCTGGCAGGGGTGGGGGTCGGGGGGTGAGGGGGCGGTTTCTTTCCCTAATCCTTTAAGATTTTGTCCAGTTTGTTTTCTCTTGGAAAGCTTCAGGCCTTCTGGCGATTCCCTTAGAGAGCCCCCTTTCCCGCTTAGCACGGAACTTGTCTGTTGATCTGTTGTGTTCTGGCTGCTGCAGGTGAGGCCCAAACACATGCTTGCTCCCTTTCTGCCCAGTTATAGCTTCCAGAGAAAAAGACTGTACCTTCTCTTCATGGTAACCCTCATCCTTCTGAATCCCCTCCTCGCCCCCCCACCCCCACCACACACACATACACACACACTGTTAGGATCCCTGAGTAAGTAGTATCAACGACACTTGCTCAGTTTCCTGCTCTCCAGTTGTTTCCTCCCTACTTCCCATCCCGTATCTCATTCATGCTTTTTTCCTCCCTTGATTCTACCTCTATCCTTGCCACTGATGCGTGGCTTGAAAGCCCCCGGGGCTCTGCCCTCCTTTAGGCTTGGGAAGAACTACTTCTGCAGTTTCTCCAGGTGCCTGCAGGGCAGCTCAGTCCCCAGCCATCCAATAACTAAGGTACCCAGCACAGCTGTTCCCTTGTTTCCACAGGTGCTATTGCTAAGTTTGGAGAGGACAGTTTGTTGTGGGAAGGTGGAGTCGGACCCCCGTCAGCATTCTTCCAGGGAGCTGTCTCCCCAGATTTCCCTCTTTAACGTTTCCAACAAACAGGTGGTCACTCCATTGGTAATAAATTCCTGGATATTTTTACCCAACACCCCAGAAACAAAATGACAATGTTATTGGACATGTCATACAGCCGGGCAAATGAGTAATGTCCTCATTAATCAATTTGCCAAAGAAAACAGTTTGCTATCTAAGCTTGTTTGGAGAGATGCTAGCTATGTGAAGGAAGAAAAACTCGGCCATCTGCTTAAAAGTACACTGTCAAGATTAAAATGATATATACTTGGTGACTTGGTGTGTTTTCAAGTTAACCTTTCCCTATGCAAGGCTGCACCAACTGCACAGTAAGTAACACTCAAGTAACTGTTACAAGAGCCTCACTGTAATGCTTTAGTAGTGTCCATTGTGCGGGGACTGAGGTAGAGATAAGATGGAATCCAAGAGAGATGCAAATTTTACCAGAACTGTCACTCTATTAAGAAATGTCATACTACAAAGAAAACCTGCTGCTGTAGTATGGTTGATTCATTTTTTATGCATCCACTCATTTATAAAATGGATCAAGTGCTCCTTCTCTCCAGGCATGTGCTATACACTGGCACACAAAGATGAATGAGACAGGGTCTCTGCTTACACACTGATGGGGGACTCATTTGCATACTTCGCTAAGTACTTAAACAACTGCAGGATAGTGTGTTAAGTGGGATGACAAAGGTATATATAAAATACAGAGAGGATCTAGGGGAAGTCTTTCCTGAAGAGCCAACTTTTGAACCAGGTTGCAAAGGATAAGTACAAGTGTTATAAACAGGCAAGAAAAAAGCCTTTTGCAAAGCCATACTGGCACGAAATCACAACGGGGAACTGCAAGTCATTTGGTTTGGGTGTAACATAGGAACCTCAGGAGATGGGAAGAGCAGTGTCAAGAGCTAGGGCCAAAGAAGCAGACAGGAGACAGATGATGCAGCACATTGAATGTCAAAGTTAGGAGTGGGGACTGAATGGGTGACATTGAATTTGGGGAGAGCTTGGCTCTTTCACAGATAGTTGGCAGCTCCTCAATACCTTATTTTATTTTGTAATATATTATGTCATACTCATATGTTATATGATGGTATGGTATACAGAATTTAATATTGTTGTACAGGCAGTCCTCGGGTTATGTCGGACTCAATGTACATAATTTTGTGGTTATGTGGCTGTCTCCCATTTATTTATAAAAAAAAAAGTTCCATAATTTTCACATATGTACATACGTGCTTTATCTTTTTTATTATTTATTTACCACAAGTAAAGGTCAGGAATTGTTATCTTTCTTTTAATTTTTTTTACTGTTTCACTTCATTACTGCTGTGTATGTGCTCCATGTGAGTGACGTAGGTGCTTATATGTAGGTGGGTTCTGACTTACCGTGAAAATTGCGTTACATCACGCCATAGGAAAGGATCTCCGATGTAACCTGAGGACCTACAGTATAAGGGCCTGGCACATATTAAGCTTCACAAAGCTGATGACTGAATGAATACTCTGACATAAGTCTCTCACCCTTGGTCAGATATTGGTGGTAATGACAGGACCATAAATTAAGCCTCATGACTTTCTTCTTCTCCAGGCTCTTTCTGTCACACACTAGCAACTAGTGACAAAGGAGCTGTTGAGATGTCTTCATAGGTATGCAATGCAGCTACAATGCCCAATATATTTTCCAAAAATTATTTTAACACCTTCATTGCCCAGGAATTTTATTCAATCTATTGTAATATCTCTGGGAAAGAAAATTAAGTTTTGTTTTTTTTTTTAAATATATTTTATTGATTTTTTACAGAGAGGAAGGGAGAGAGATAGAGAGTTAGAAACATCGATGAGAGAGAAACATCGATCAGCTGCCTCCTGCACACCTCCTACTGGGGATGTGCCCGCAACCCAGGTACATGCCCTTGACCGGAATCGAACCTGGGACCTTTCAGTCCGCAGGCCGATGCTCTATCCACTGAGCCAAACCGGTTTCGGCGAAAATTAAGTTTTAAAATGGTAGTAAGACATGGAATTCTAGCTAAATAAGCCTTTTATTTTCACTTTTGCTGAACTATGTCTGCTTTGCGAAGCGAGTGATAACCTAGAATGAATAAATACCTGTACTGTTTTCAATCCTCGGTTGGGAATCCACGGATGCG